TAGCGGCGTCGTTGGGCTCCGAGCGACCCCGGCCGCTCTTCGGGTCGCTTCGGCGTCCGAGCCTGGCGAGCTTTGCCGTGTCCGCCCGCCCGGCTGGGCACAAAACGGAGCCGAACGAGCCGAAGCTCGCACCTTCGTTTGTTTCCGGTCAAACCGACAGCCAAGTCCGCTCGTTTGGTCTCTCTAAAATGGACTCACGTCCCTTTGTCCTAAAAGCAGTGATGTATCTCAAGTGATTCAAGCCTATTCTGCCTGAATTAATCTGAAAATGTGTAAGCAGAACTGAGCCAGAGACAAGGCGGAGAATTTGATATCTTCGGAAGATGCTCTCTCTCTCTCTTCTCTCTCTCTCTCTCCTTCTCTCTCTCTCTCTCTCTCTCTCTCTCTCTCTAATCAAATCAAATCTCTCTCTCTGCGGCGGCGTCCACTTGCGTACAAAGAAGAGCCTTTCCACGACGAGATCGAGAAAGGTCGGTTCTACCAAATGCCAAAAACAAGATCCGACCGGATCACGCGTTCCGAACATAGAAAAATAGTTAAAATCGAATTTTGACATTGATTACCACTTTTCGGCAAGAGTACGTACCTAGGTTCCCATCCTGCCGGAAAATCCACTGCTCACTGCTTGTCAGAAGGCCATGGCCCAACAGGATAGGGCTGTTGTGCCTGCTGGAGTTGAGCGCGTCTGGCTTGGACAGGCGGTGCACTGTCAGGATGTAACCATCAGGCGTAACCACGTTGTGCGTGTCGTCATGGTAACCATAAGACGCCGCTAGCTGTTGAAGCGAAAGGGGAAGATTACTCAAAAATACATGCGTAGAATTCTTCAAACCTTACTTACGCACCCTTAAAACCTTACGAAGTATTTTGAGCATACGTACAAACTAATTTACTTTGTTATACGAAGAAATAGTTCGTAAATTACGAAGTGTTTTCTTTGTATGCTTATGTATGCTCAAAATACTTTGTTCTAACAAACTGCTTTGCTTTGTAAGACAGTTTGTAAGATTTTCTCAGAGCGAATCGACACCTCCGTGGAAGACTATACTTTCCCCGTGGCCGGGGAAGACTGGTCCATTGGAGTGTTGTAAGAAACTGAAGGGAAAGATATAAAGAGTACTCTCATTCCAGATACGTAACTCCACGTTGAAACGAACGACACAAAATGTCAGGTTCCTTTCAGCATTGTGACACATTCGATCGGATGTGAGTCAAATCAGCCATAAATTAGCTAATTCGTATTCAAACGAATGAGACACATTGCTCAAAGGAACGAGACATTTTTCCAGATTCGTTTGACCGTAATGTCACGCTCCTTTAATTAGAGTGTAGTCGTCCCCAGCCCCCTGAACTCTTTGAGTATCAACGTCACTTTATTCTTAAGGGGAGGTCCTACTGAAAGATGTGCGTTTTTTTAAAAATCGAGCCCTGATGTAAAAATTTGCTGTTTTTTTTTTCAGTGTAAAGTGTCAAACTTGAAACCCAGAACCGACCATCTTCCTCCAAATCCACTCCAAGGGGATTTTTACACCCATTTTAGCAAAACTTTTGAAATTCTCCTACGCGAAATGGTAAACAGATTTTCTGAACATTTTCCACTTCTTTGGTTCATATGCAACAAACCGACCCAACACATGGTTTTTTTTTTGTTTTTATGTTGTTGTTTTTTTTTTGTTTTTCAAATATGTTACTCAAAATAATATAAGGATTCTCAACATAATCATGAAATTTGAGTGGTATAGTGGTATGTTCTCTCAAAACCACATCTAATGTGACATTGTCCCGACGCAAAAGCCTCACCTTTTCGACGGTAGTCGGCGGGAGGGAAGCCAACACACGGCAGCAGCAGGCAGCCACGATTGTGAGTGACAAAGTCCGGGCCGACATTTCGGACGAGAAAAAAAAGCCGACTGGAAGCGTCTCCCACGGAATGAGGCTGTATCCTGAAATAAAAAGAATCGGTTGTTGATTATAGTAGGAAGCGAGATGGACCTTGGAGGTGGGCGGGACGAAGTGTAAGCAAGCAGTCTTCCCCCCTCCCAATCTTACCTTCTAGACGAGTGATGCGTGATGACGACTTTCAGATCCACTTAAAATTGAGAGGTTGGACCACCAATGATCATATATCGAGCACCTTTGACTGTCGATGTTTTTGGCATCCATCCATTGAGGCCTTCTTTTTTCTCGTGAGGTCTAACTCGCCCGTTCCTCCGAGGATTCCCTTTTCAAACAGCCGGTCTGAAATTTTATAAAATGCTGGTGAAATTATCATACGTTTTGAAATTTCATAACACTAGTCACGATGTAATTGCAAAACAGTTAATGCAACAAAAAGTGTGAATAGTACAACAAAAGTACAACGAAAACTGTACAACGGGGATTGTAGAAAGTACAACCAGACCTGGACTGCACTCCACTGGTTATGCAGGTTCCTTTGTACTTTGTGAAACAGTTGTTGAAATTGGAAGTTCAATATCCTAATAAAAATTTGCCAGAAATTATTGTTGTTTTGTTGTGGTTTTCTCCACCAGTGTGGCGTACCTTGCAAGTGCCTATTCCTCCTCCCCTTCCTTTTGAACGGAACGTCGATGTGCAAGTCTTCCCAGTTCCAAAAAGCGCCTTCAGAAGCATGAAATCGCATTAAATAATTGGCACGATCTCGGAGCGAGCAATGAAGAGCACATCGATAAATAAATCCCACCTTTCGATCACCCCTCCTTTCAGTTTGAGACGTGCTTAGGCTATGTACGTTGAATGGCAACTCACTGAAAGGAAAAACCACAACAAAAATACACAAATTACTGGTAATTTTTTTTTATCTGGAATTTATTGTACTTTTAAAGTACAATGGAACCGGCATGACGAGTGCTGGGCAGTCCAGGCCTCGTTGTGGTTTGTACAATTCTCGTTGCACTTCTATTGTACTGTTTTTGTTGAACTATTCACATTTTTTCTTGCGGTGTGGCGAGCGAAGAGTCGCTAGTAGCACTTAGTCTTCCGTTGAAACACTCATTGTGTTACGATTTGATGCACCGCGAGGTTAGTACGGACACTTGTCCACTACACTTGTTCACTACACTCAGAAGAAACAACTTGTAGGACGGACGTGGCCACACTTGCAACTCTTGCGCGTCACTTCACTGACCGCGGACGCGGTGCTGCGATGCGAGCGGCTCTGTTGACACGGAAGAAATGAGGAGCTGGAAACTGTCGAAAAATCCGAGACCGGCCGTGGCCCGGAGCGGGTAACCTCGGCCAACCTCCGGCCTGATAGCGGCCGGGACTTTCCGCACTCGTCCGAGCGCCCCGGCTAGGTTTAGATGCCTGTGGACTGGTTTCGAGAGTCGTCGTCGTCGCTCTGTCTCTCTCGCACCAATACGGGATGCCCCACGAGTGCGAGAGAAGCAGAGCGACGACGACGACTCTCGGAATCAGTCTATTGGCCCGGCTGGACTCCGGTGCCGGGTGGGGCCGGCACCGGTTGGGCGCCACCAGGGCAGCCAAGCGAAGCGGGGCTCAATTAGATGTGTGCGTCGATTTGTTGTTGACGACGGCGGCGGCGATGGACCGAAACTCATCCTTCGGCGCCTGCGCCCATTTCTTTGCCAGCGGTGGCGGTCGCCAATTTCGGCTATCTTCTCAAATTAAAAACAAGTTTCATGAAAAACATTATTGACACCTCTTGGAGGGGAACTAGATATGACTGGTTCAGTGTCACCTTGAATTCCTATGTAGTCTTTTGAGCATAGCTTTGCTTGAATTGAGCTTCGTTAAGAAATGCACGAATTAGTGCGTAAAGCACGAAAATGTGCGTTGTTGTTAAGGGGGCAGTAGCGTCGTTTGAACGTATTTTGACGATTTTTGAACCTCCTGTTTAGACGTAAAGAAATAAGTACGAATGCCAGAGACAAACGGCAGGTTTCAATATTGGGCAAGAAAAAATGTTATTCGTTTCCATCTAAAATTGAAGATAAGCGTTTCAATAGTTTTTCTTGCCCAATATTGAAACCCA